ATCAACCCACAAGACCAATCGAGAAGAGATCGTTGGCCATAAACGACTCAGGCTAAGGAAGCAATTTCAGGTAAGAAACTGAAATTTGTTGTTAAATTTCTAATCAAACAGTGAAGAAACTTCTGTTTAGCCCCGGTTCAGGGCATTTTAGACAAAAAATATGAAAAAAAAAACCGACCGATTCAGCAGAAACCAGGCCGGTTCACACAAATTTTTGGCAATTTAATTCCAGTTTATTGCATAATAAAATAAATAAATAACTAATGTAATTATTTACGTTTTGGTTCAGCAAAAATAATTGACTTTTAAGGCCGGTTCAAGGCTAAAACGCATTAAACCGGCCGGCTTAATGCTCTAAAGGCCGGTTCAGTGCTCTTTTGGGCTGGTTCAGTATCTTTTAAATCGGTTCCAAGCAGGATCAATATTTTGGAAATAAAAATAAGGCTGGTTTAGTGGTTTAAAAACCGGTTCGTGGCCGGTTTAGGCTCCGAACGACCGGTTCATAGCCGGTTCATTCCTTTAATGGTCAATTCACTTCATTTAATGATTTTTGGAGGTTTGAATAGACTGGTTTTGATATCTTAAGGAAGGGTTTATGATGTTGATACTTAGTATTTGAAGGGTCGGGACCTAACTAATTATAAACAAAGGGGACTCGGGCACGCAAACCTAGAAATTTGGTTTACTTTTAAATTTAAATTGTTATTATCAGAAAATTTTATTTAGTTATATTATTATTTCTTGATTCTAGATCGATCGCACGATTCTGGTTAAGCTGTGTCGTTAGGTGTTTGATTTCCCGATTTCGTCGTTCTGTGAGTAGTAACGTGTATTTATGAGCCGTTATGCTTTCCATATTTAAATTAAATTTGTTTTTATTTATTAACCAATTTTCTGCAAATCTGATTAAATTTTTGTTAAATTATATGACAAGGGACATGCATGTAAATTTTGAATTTGTTTTGGAAACCTGTCTATTACTTATATTTAACTACAGACAGGATTCTGTTTTGTGTTTAATATTTCAGTTAGTGTGGTTTGGATTTTATTTGAGTTATATCAGATTTTGTTTTTTCCAATTAAATTCAGTGTTTCTGTCAGGCTTGCATGGGTTGGGATTTATTCTAACTCTTGCGTCGGTCACGTATCCGATTTTGGGTCGTGACAAAGTGTTAAAATTATATGACAAGGGACATGCGTGTAATTTCTAAATTTGTTTTGGAAACTTATCTGTTATTTATATTTGACTCAGTTTTATATCAGTACATAGAATTATTCAGTTAATTGTTCTGTTAAATCTGGAAAATATTATTTTGCGGGAGTTTCAGATTTTTTGAACATTGCAGCTGACGGCAGTATATGTTAGCATGATTTGCACCCTGTACGGGTCCCTATCTAGCAGTGGTGATGGTGCTAGATATTTCAGAGCATATGTTGCCATTTCAGTTTCAGGGCATATGTTGCCATTTAATTTTCAGGGCATGTGTTGCCATTCAGTTATCAGGGCATATGTTGCCATGTTATTACCCGGGCATTATTGCCATTACCAGCTGACTATGTGTCGCTGTTTTGATTATCAACTGACTATGTGTCGCTGTCTTGGTTATCGGTTGATTGTGTGTCGCTGATCTATTTCCCGATATATGTTACGTTCAGAATTACAAACTCCCTAAATAATGGAAAGTGTTTGGAAAATAAATATGTTTTAGTAAAAATTACATGTTATAACTGTATGCATGTCCTTTGATCTTGTAAATGCAGATTATTATTCACTGGGTCAATAGACTCATCCTTATTTTTTTTTCAGATTCTGAGTACGCTGATCCAGTGGATCCTACTTGCTGAGAGGAGTCCGTGGCATCAGCTGTTCTGTTTAGATTTTTCTGTTCAGAGTTAGTTATTCAGTTTTATCAGACTTTGTATTCCTGGGATTCTAGTATGCTCCATTTGACTACAGATAGGATTTTGTTTTGTGTTTGATATTTCAGTTAGTGTGGTTTGGATATTATTTGAGTTATATCAGATTTTATCTTTTTCAGTTAAATTCAATGTTTCTGTCAGGCTTGCATGGGTTGGGATTTATTCTGACTCTTGCGCCGGTCACGTATCCGATTTTGGGTCGTGACAGTTGAGAGGCCTATTCAAAAATAAATAAAATATACATGTTTAAACAAATCAATTTTGGACTTAATTGAAGAAATTGAAAGTTATTGGAAGTTTGTGGACTTAATTGATCAAATTAAAGAAATTGACTTTAGTTAAGGGGCTTAATCAAAAATAAATTAAATACAAGTATTTAGACAAATGAATTTAAGATTTAATCAAGCAAATTGAAAGTTATTGGAAGTTTAGGGACTTAATTGAACAAATCAAAGAAATCGACTTTAGTCAAGGAGCCTAATCAAAAATAAATAAAATATAAGTTTTTAAACAAATCAATTTTAGATATGATCAAACACATTGAAAGTTATTAGAAGTTTAGCGACTTAAATTAAACAAATCAAAGAAATTGACATTTAGTCAAGGGGCCCAATCGAAAATAAATAAAATAAAAGTCTCTAAACAAATCAATTTTGGACTTAATCCAAGAAATTAAATGTTATTGAAAGTTTAAGGACTTAATTGAATAAATCAAAGTAATTGACTTGAGTCAAGGGTCCTAATCAAAAATAAATCAAGAATAAGTCTTTTAAAAAAAAAGCTATTTAGGATTTAATAGAAAAAATTGAAAGTTATTAGAAATTACGGACCTAATTAAAAAAAAATCGATTATATGTTGTAAAAGAAATCAATTTGGACTTAATAGGAAAAAATCAAATATAAGTCTTCATTTTTCATTTTTACAAATATTACGAACGTATTATTTTTTAATTCATTTTTTTATTTGTAAAATACTACTGATGCATGGTTGCGTTGGTAAGATTCTTAAATAATATTAAATTTTTATTGTCTAATACTGGCGATGCAAAGTTGCATTGTTAATATTTTTAAAATTACCATCGGAAGATGCATTGAAAATTGTGACAAAAAACATTCCAAATCAATTTTGACTCCTATAGTAATTTTTCGACTGACAATCATTAGAAAAAGTATTGGCCTTATTCTTGCATCAGTTATATTGTGTCAGAAATTCTTAACTTTTTTTAGTAATTTTGACCCCTATGAAAATAAAATAGCCCTTAGAGATGTACATATATACCTGTACTAAAAGACTTGTATAAAAAATTAGAAATTTATAAAAAAAAATTAAAACAAATCCAAAATTATGGAACCAATTAAAAGTCATTTGGATAAAGGAAAGGAAGCACTTCTCCGTGGCTCTGCAAAAATAGGGAGTGCTTCTACCAGACAAACCACACGTCTCAAACTATTGAGTGATGTGGACGCGAGCTTTATTTCTATACCTTTAAAATTTTTGTTTCAGTTCTCCGATTTGCAATAGAGTTGTTTTCTAGTTTGTTGTAAAATAAAAATTGTGTATTTAACTATTTTGCTATTTTTCAATTTGCCATTTGCTATATTTCTTCAATTTTCATCTTAGTAAACCAATAAATTTGAAGATATTTGTTATAATTTCTTTTATTCTATTCTTTTAATCTCATCTTTGTTATAATAGGCTAATTGTCTATAGGCCCTTTTTTTTTAATTCTCAGATATATTTGTAAAAAAATTAATATAAAATATTTTCGTTATTTCTTATAGAAAATATAAAAATATCTCTTTTCTTGCAAAAAAAAATATAATGTATAATTACAATTTATACTTATCTCCTATATTTTTGTCCCCGTAAAATTAAATTCTGAATCTATCAATGTCGATAATAGTAGTGACATAAATTAATAAGGTTGAATAAATTTCTCTCGCTATTCCATCGTTAGTCCCGTCACTAAATCACAAATATTTGCAACGCAAATTTTTTATAGCTATTCTATAACAGCTTTTTATTTTAGTAACAAAATATTTTTGTTAGTTTTTTGTTAGTAATTTTTGTTAAATTAGCGATGAAACTGTCTATTGCTAATTGTTAATTTTCTAGTTGTGTTATCCAGAGTTTCGTTCCCATAAACCATTATTTGATACTGAGTAGAATTTTTGTATGGTCGAATCTTGAATTGGTAGTTTTGAGATTACTATCTCTTATACCAATTTGTCAAGTATCACTTGAGGATAGACTCTCCTTCTTTGAGCTATAGTGGATTTGATACTTAGAAGCTCTTAACTGGAGCTTCACAAGGGAACTCATAGCTGGAGTTTCTGCACAATATTGCAAGAGGCAACAAGTCTTAAGATTTTAATATTTCTCTAATATTATTTGATTGATAATGAGGAGAGTTAAATAGTGGCACAAAGTCCAAATCCAAATAAGTAGCTAGCAAAAGATTAGAATACATAACCTTCTTAAAAATAAGAATCAATTTGCAATTATTAAAATCAATTTACATAAATAAAGTCAATTTATACAACTCTTGAATATGCATTCATCAAAACTCAAATGTGTTCATTCCAGGCCCGTGACACAATGTGTTTCTTTGTTACATTCAGAATGGACTAATGTTATAGATCTTATTACATCATTTAGCAAATTTCGAATTTTATCAATTGGTTCCTGGTAACCAAACTAGTAATATATATATATATATATATATATATATATAACACTACAAACAATACTAAAATTGTCCAGACAAGAACGTACACATGAAGAAAACTAAAAACAATTCTATCACAATGAAAAAAAAAACAGAAAAAAATAAATGTGAAAAGGAAAAATCTATAAGAAATAGAAATGTATAATGCACTATATTTAAGGTTAAGCATTGTTTCTTTTCTCAAGCATAACCTTGTCCATTATTGGGCGTGCTTTGCACATGACTTCTAATGGCTCAAGCTTGGTGCATGGTTAATAATCCTCTCCCTTTCGTGAGATCAACCAACTTCTCACTCACCCTCTCCCACTTGAAGCATTGAATCAATGATGCAAGGCCCAAGCCCAGAAAACATTAGGCTAGCCTAGCCCCTGGACAAGCCCTCCTTCCTTTTCCGAATGGCATTAGCACGTGTGCTTCCACCTCCCCACCTTTAAACCTCTCTGGCTTAAAGCTAGTGGGGTCATCCCAAAACTTAGGGTCCCTGCGAATGGCCCACATGTTCACCATCAAAATGCTGCCATGTGGCACATCAAATTGTCCGATTCTGCAATCATCGATGGCATACGTGGCAACAGCAATGGTGTCACGGGAAACAAGTGAAAGGTCTTGGAGATGATTTTCTAAAGGTAATGGAGATTGGACAAATCAAGTTCATCCACATGAGAATCTATTTCCTCTCTCGCTTTCTTTGATACCTTAGGGTGGTTCACAAGGAGGGACGTCGCCCATTCCATCATCACTGTTGCTGTGTTAGTTCCCCCTAATATCATGACCTATATATTTAAATTGCAAAAATTAAGTAATTTCAAATATGACATAAGTTTTACAAGAGATTGGCTTTCAATAAACACTTAAGTTGCCATGATGAGCCCCCTGATGATCTAATCAGTGTAATACTCCGGTTGTGATTCTTGCAAAGAAAGCAAATGATTGATCATGGAGTTCTTATCCCTTCGGTGCTCATCAATTAAGCCCTACAAGAATTTGTCTATTCTCTTGTGAATTCTCCCTAAATTCTTCTCAAAACTGCCATAATCGATCCATTGCAAAACTGGCAAGAAGTCACTAGGTTTGACGTGCCACCTAAGGTGAACGCCTCAATCACTAACTTTAAAAACACCTGGGCTTTCTCGGCATTCTCTAGTTTGTCCCCATAGGATCTCTTCATGGCTGTCATTCTCATGACGTTGAAAATGAGCTTATTAAGCTTCGATTTCAGCTCAACTTGGGTGAATCCATTAGAGGAGATCCTATTGAGGCTTTGGAGCAAGAACCTGATCTTGTCATGCCAAATCGAAAAGAAAGCATTGAGCTAACTCGTTCAGAAGATCTCATGGGCCATGAGTCGGCAAAGGTTGCACCAGTGATCACTATAGGGCAGGTTGCCACACTAGTGCAGTTGTAGCCAAAATACTTGTCAATTATTAGCTGGGGACTATTGGCTAGGACTACGTCAATCTCAGTGAAACACGCCTCCACAACAGATGGGGAGGACACAACCACGACGAGGCGCAAGCCAAACTAGAGCAAGAATATTGGGTCGAGTTTCTGGGCTAGCCCGTGGAGGGATCGTGAACGGGGTGCTTCACGAGGTGCAACTGACAGATGAATGGGAGAGCAAGCGGGCTGGGAAGGAGGTTTTCGCGTCATTGAGATCTAGTTGCTAAGAAAAACTTGAGAGCGGTGACCAGGAAGATAATGGTGAGAGTTGAGTATATGAAACTAGTTTCCACGTCAGGTGGTCGGATCGGGAGATGAAGTATTGAGTGGATACGTTGTCAAAAGTTGGTATTAACATACTGCTATTTGTTGTTTCAAAAGGCAACCCAAGAGGGGGGTAAATTGGGTATTTTTTATAGAAGCTAAATATAAAAATTTAAAAGATTGAATTAATGCAATTCACCCAAAGTAAATATAAACAATTATAAATAAAGTAAAGATAGTAGGTATATGAGATACAAACTCTTTTATAGTGGTTTGACTTGCTACCTAAGTCTACGTCCACTCTCTCGAGCTCCAACCAGCCGAGGTTCTATTAGGTCCCTTGCACTTGATGGAGGCAAAAATTTTCGATTACAAACAAAGTCCCTTGCACTTGACAGATGCAAGAAATCCCAATTATAAAACTTTTGATTCGGTGAACTTTCAACACTAATATAAATGGTAATTAAGATAAAGTAGATATGTAGTAATTTCTCTTAAGTAGAATTAGCTACCACTCATGTACAAAAATAATCTCACTTCAAAGAGGCACTCTTAAGAATAAAACAATATGCTCTATGTATTCTTTGATCTAGTAATAAATAATGTAGTATAAAAAATTTTAGAGAGAGATTGATGAGACTTTGAGAGCTTGTTGTTGTATATTTTTTCCTTTAATCTATGCTCCTTTTATAGATAAAAATACCAAAGAGACGTTGGAGAGTTTTTGGAAGATAAAATCATTTGTTAATAGCAACTGCACATATACTCGTTTCAAATATTCAAATAAAATGGCTTCGAGTATTCAAAAAATCTTTAAAATGTTTTTAAACACTCTTAAATGAGTCTATTTTCAAATACAAAAAGAATAATTGCATTGTCATGCACTGTTTGAGAGAAATGATCAAACTTTCAACGATATGCCAGACTGCAAAATTGTTTTTGACAAAAGTTGTTAGCCAAGTGCAAAATTATCTAAAAATTTGAATTTGTTTTCAAAAATAACAAATTATATATTTTGAAAAATCTTATATGTCTACTTTCATTCAAAATTAGATATGTATAAATTTGACTTTTATATTTTGTGATATGATAATAATATTATGGTATACTCATTTTGTCTGCTGACAGTATGACTCAACAGAATGATCCACTTTGAAAAATTATATCTATCAATAAATAATTGTAAAATGTGCATATAATATATACATTTAAAGTTTAGTACGTCTATTTTATAAATAAATTTAATTTATATATTTATTTATATCATAAGTTATATTTTACTAATTAAAACTAATATCGTGCAGATTTCAATATTGACCACTTCAGAAAACAATATATGAAATTGATATAAAAAACTGCCTTGATATAGAAGAGTATATGAGATATATTATACATCAAAACAAAGATATTTGAATATAGTTCATATAAAATTAACCTTGCTATTTTTAAAGGTTTATATAATAAGATATGATCAATTTACTATATATATGTCTAATTTGACAATTTCACTTTGTAGCACATGTAGTGTATGTATCTCCAAATAATAAACTCAATAATATAATTTATCCATATTATCTATTATATAAATATATATATATATATAATTTTAATTTATTTTGTCATTATGAAAATCAATATAAAACCTTGAGGCTAACACTATTTATAGACTAAGTTTAGTTAACAGTGTCGTGAGTACTTACCATAAGAATGTGTTGTCGTTGATGCGGTCATCTTTATGCTATCCATCAATTTTTATTTAACATGAAATAGATTGGGTTGCAGAAAAGTACTTTGGTTTGAAAACTTCTTTTGCAATGGAATACCACGTGCCGTGGACAAAAAGTTTTCAAGATGGCAAATGCGTCAAAAATCAAAACAAATTAAAATGAAATAATGAGTGATTTGCACAATGTACCCTCTCATTAAAAAAATTTGGCACTTTATACTCTAAGGCCTTTTAGCCATTTGCCTTATTAGGGTGCAAAATGCCAATTTTTGTTATTTTGGAGTGTATGTTGCAAATCGCCCGAATAATAAGTTATATTTTTCCTTATATTTGTTTTGTTGTTCCTAAAACCATTGCTATAAAACATGGACAAAATTGTGTATTAAATCTCATACTTATGTTTATTGTATTTACCAGATAATCTAAAAAAATTAATTCTTAGACTCCAAGTGATTGAATAAATTTCAGTACTAAAAATTTAATATTTAATTCTAATTTTATCAAACTAGACCTCAATTGTTGCACAAGATAAATGTGGGGATGGAAAATTAATCATTGTCTGGTGTGTTAGATGAATTGGATATGAACTTGAATATTGTTCAAACACCAGTTTGATGTCTTCCCAGGACACAAAACACTGTTTTAATTTTTTTCATTTTTTGTATTGGATTATAAAATGACATATCCTCTTAGATAAAGGAGGAAAATTAAAATCTAAAACCTCACCTTATCTCCACTTTTCTCACTTTATTTATCCCAACAATTACTTATCATTTATATTTTATCAATTTTCCATGCTAGTTCCAGGTTATGACAAAAGAGTGGAAGAGGTGGATTTAAACAAAGAAGATGGAATGGTTTAATATTTTGCCATGGATAGGACTTAGTCGACATATGTAGAAAAGCTAGACACGTTAATATGTTCAAATACGGGTTGAGTGCAAGAAATGTTAGAAAACTCTTTTGATGGGTATTTGTCATAATTGTTGCTTCCTAAGGAATTATTTGGATTATGTTTTGTTTTCATTTTTTGTTACCAAGCTATAAACTATTTTGTCAATTGACTCGATGACTGTACTAATTTGATCACTCATCTAAATTTTAAAACACTAATCATCATACCACATTCATCTTTGTACCTTTTTTGATGAAATCTTGATGGTGGGGAGGAGTTTGGATTCATGCATAGACTATTTAGCCTCCAACTTTGTCGTGACCAGGGAATTAGATTTATGATTGGTGCTAAAGTAAAAATAAATTCTAATCCCGTAAGTCTTTTAGATAACTCAGAATTAACTACAACAAAATCTTATATAAAACTAGAATCAAAATTCAAATTCAAATCCCAACTAAATAATCTGTGGATTAGTAGAAAACATGTATGTAGTCAAATAAAACTAACTAAGAAACCTAGAAATACAAAATCTAACAAAAAACTAAAATCAAATAACTAACTTCTATGATTAAGAAAGAAAGACAAAAAAATCAACAGACTCCTCTCAAGTAGTATGATTCGATTGAATATTGAACTCTGAATCTGAAAAATAATAAGAGATAAGTTGACAGACCTAGTAAATAATAACATGCGTCTATGAGAATAAGGGACAAATATATCAAATATAGCAGAAAACATAATTTAACAGATATCCATAATTTAGAGAGTTCGTAATCTAGAATGTAACAGAAATCAGAAATTAGGATGGTGACACCTAGCCTACCGGAAATCAAGATAGCAACCACTTAATCTACTAATATACAGATATACAGGTCTTCCATGTCGGATCAACATAATAGTCTAGCACCATCCTTACTAGCTGAGAATATAGTTTAAAGTGCACTCAGTCTAATACTTATTACTGTTAACTACAGTGTTTTAAAAGTTTGAAGCTCTTTTAAAACAGTTTTTCAGAAATAAACAGAAACAATTTAACAATTTTTTTTCATTTACAGATATAAATAGAACTAGACATAAGTAATAGATAGTTTTTTCAAAATAATTTCAAAAATTATATACATGTCCCTTGTTATAATTTTATAGCAAAATTTAATTCAATTTTCAAAAATCAAGTAAATCATGTAAAATTAGAATTTATAACAGATATGAAAAATAGTAAATATTCATAAATGCACATCATTACTTACAGAATCGACAAAAATCAAGAAATTTGATCTTTGGTGACACGGGTTCGTCGAGAACCATATAATAAAATATCTTATTGTAGCTTTTTATACATCTAAGAATCAAATAATTATAATTTTTCAATTAAAAACTCGAGTAAAATTCTAGATTTTCAGGCTCAAACCCATATCAAGACTACTAAAGTCCCAAAGCAATAAAATAAATCATGAATCGAGTATTAAAGTCTTAAACCGGTTTCATAAAACATAAAACCGATTTGTTAAACCTAAAAACCACCAATTAAAGTGCTGAATCAATTATGAATGGGCCACTAAAAGGCTGAATCAGCCATTAGGTCATTGAATCGGCCTAGCCTATAAAGCATTAAACCGGCCCTAAACTAGTCTATAATGCATTGAACTGGACTTTTTTTTATGTATAGAACCGATCTGAAATCCACTAAACCGAACATAAAGCACACAAAATCAGTCTTTAATTCACTGAAGTAGTCCAATATGTTATTGAACCGATGATTAAAAACTATAATTCAATGCTTTAAGGCTTAAACTGGATGTGTTATCCCCTAAACTGGCATTAGACTGGTTAGTTTAAGTATTAAACTAACCTATTTTGCCTTGAACTGGAGGTGAACTAGTGGTTAATCCCTTGAACTAGATAATTTTCTAAATTTCCTATTTATTTATTTTCTGATCCAGATCCAAGATCCAGATCTATTTTTGAAGTCTAAACCTGGACAACTAACACAATCCAAGCCCAAACCTGAAGCCCAATCCTCAGCCCAAATGATCAAGGGCCAGCCCATGGCCCAACCAAAAAGACCTCAGCCCAGTTTCAGGGAACTAGCTCACTGGCAAACCCAAACCCTCATGAAGTTTGTCTTTTAGACCCCATTTCTGTAACCAAGGATCCCAATTTGCACTAACTCAAAACTCAATAAATTTACCTGAAATTTCTTCAAATTTTCTTGTGGATCAAGCTCAAAATGTATAGGCGACCACAAAAGCTCCCAGAATTTAACTTTTAAGCATCTTAATTTGTAGAAATTAAACTTGAAAAGCTTTGATAATGGCAGACAGCAAG